GATGACAGATAGATGACAGATGATAGATTAGATAGATAGATATTGATCGATAATAGATGACTGATATAGACTGATGATAGATAGATAATAGATTAGATAGGTGATAGATTAGATAGATATAGATAGATAGATGACAGATGATAGATTAGATAGAGAGATAGATGTTGTTGATAAATAATAGATGACTGATACAGACAGATGATAGATAGATAGATGAGAGAGAGAGAGAGAGAGAGAGAGAGAGAGAGAGAGAGGCAGGCAGACAATAAAGAGAAGGAAGCAAGCGCAGGGAGACTCACCACTAAATTCCCAATCACCATCACCATCACAAAGACCAGCAGGCACAGGGACCGCTCAGCCACAACCATGCAGTGCCACATGGTCTCAATCCATTCCCCACACAGGATCCGGAAGATAATGAGGAAAGAATGAAAAAAATCCTCCATGTGCCAGCGCAGTTTGCAAGCGGGGTCTAACTTCTTGCAGGAGTTTTTATAATTGTTCCCAAACAGTTGCATCCCAAAGACAGCAAAAATAAAGACGATAATGGCTAAGACCAGGGTGAGGTTGCCCAGAGCATCCACCGAATTTAAGATGATTTTTATGAGGGTATTTAAGGTGGGCCAAGACTTTGCCAGCTTGAAGACTCTCAGCTGTTGAAGACAAAAAGGTCAAATCAGTTTCAAATCAGTTTTAACACCAACAGAATAATTTGTCAGGTTCTGAGTTCAAAGGTAGCTAGGGGAAGCAAGAGGTCAAAAAAGTTGAGAGAAAGAGCCACAATCATGACTCCCTTTCTTAAACATTCATCCCATCCCTGTCAGTAATCCATAAATTATTGTCCATTTACTGGTAGTAGTTCTCAACTTACAACAGTTCATTTAGTGACTGTTCAAAATTACCAGGGCACTGAAAAATGCGTGATGACTGTTTTTACTACCTTTGCAACATCCCCATGGTCACGTGATCAAAATTCAGGCCCTTTGCAACTGACTCGTATTTATGACAGTTGCAGTGTCACCCGGTCACGTTTTACAACCTTCAGATAAGCAGAGCCAATGGGGAAGATAGATTCAGTTAGCAACCGGGCCACTAACTTATCAGCTGCAACGATTCACGTAACAGCTGAGGCAAGACAGGTCGTCCAATGAAGGAAAAACTCACTTAACAAATGCCTCACTTAACAGCATAAATTTTGGGCTCAATTGTGGTTGTAAGTCTAGGACTACCTACAGCTCCGAAGCCACAGAACGAACAGTTACCAGTCTCAAAGTTCTCAGGACAGAATAGCTGCCCTTTTTCCCGCCCTTTTTTCCTTTCTTGTTCTCTTTCGTCTCGCTCGACGTGCTCAGTTCGACTATGCTGATCAGGACAATCACACTGTCGAAGACATTCGAACGCTGCTGAAAATAATGGTAAGGGTCCATGGCGATGATCTTCAGGATCATTTCTGCCGTGAAAATGGCTGTGAAAATCTGTCAGATTTAGAGAAAGAAGAAATAATTATGTCAAGTCCTAAGGAAGGTGAGGGCTGCTCCATGTTTATGAGATGTTTTTATTCTGCCTTTATTACTTTACAGATGATGAACATACCTAATACTCCTTCTTCCTCTTCTTTTTCCCACAACAACAATCCTGCAAAGTTTCATGCCTAAGGCAGGACTAAAACTCCCAGTCTCCTAGAGATTGGCCCAATGTCATCCAGTTGGGTTTCATAGCTAAGGCGGGACTAGAACTCACGGTCTCCTGGTGATTGGCCCAATGTCATCCAGTTGGCTTTCATGGCTAAGGCGGGACT